CTAAGCTTGAGATCCACATAGAGAAGCAGAAGTAGTCACAGTAGAAGCAGAGAGAGTCAGGAGAATGGCAGAGACAATAAAGTACAGCAAACAAAGTACAGACAATAAAGCTGCAACAGAAACACTTCCAAGGAGCAGAATGACCAGGTCGCTAGGGCTGTTGCTCTATCATGAAGATCAAAGAGTTTTTTTATCACTCTTGGAAGCTTATTGTGCAATTACTAACACTTTCCTTGGTTTCCTTATCTTCTTATATTTCTCACAAACTGGAAATAGGTGGTACATTTATAATACATGTATCCTCTGTCTTTCAATGCCTCTCTGTATCAGGCAGATTGGGGACCATCCAGGTCCTCACATGTTGTATTCTAGAGTTCAAGACACATTCTACAATATACACAGCATAGATTAAAGAATAGCCATTACTGGGAAAATTGACACAAGATAATGTCAGCTCAGGTCCACTTAATCCTCACATTGTCCCATAAGAGGTTTGCCTAGGCCAGGACACTGCTGGGCCTGAAAGGTGGATCTACATTTAAGCCCACGAGTCTCTTCTTCTTGGGGGTCTCTGCAGTGTAGACAAGCTACTGAGAAAGCAGCTTGATCCATGGGGAACACACAGGCTTCTTGCAGCCAGGCATTCTGAATTTCAGGTGGCAGCTGTTGTCTGGAAATATTGACAGTCCAGAACATGGAGACTTTGGAGACATGGGATATTGCATTCCACCCTGGCAGGGGAGAGACTCCTTGGTCCCATAAGAATCTGAGCTTGGGTTCAGACCCTCCCTCTGGGAGAAAGAGACGGAGCAGACACAGCTAGTCCACCCTCCAGATAATGCAAAATGACCTTCCATGGTCTGCTCATCTGCTCATTGCAATGGACACTGGCTAATATCTGCTCTGATTATATATCTACATACCAAACCATGAGGGATAATTTATGCTATCAAATTGGCCTACTCTAGAGATGTGTTTTTTTCCCTCAGAGCTCCTTTCCTATTAAAATTTTGTTTGGATTTGGGCTACAGTGTCATGGAAGGAATTACTCCACAGCAATGAACTGTTTTGAGTGCTCATCCTTACTTAACCATTTCGTGAACTTTTTATTATGAATTAGTTTTTCAAAAATTTTTTCAACTTAAAAAAGTTTAAGACATTACAGAAACCGTTAAAATCCCCTTTTTATCCTCTTTCAGTCTCATTTTCAAACCCCCATTCCTAAAGCAACCACTATCTTGAATTTAGCATTGATCTTTGCATTGCATTTTTAAATATTTTTCTTTTTATTTACACAACAACAATATAAATTGCTATGCTATTAAAATTTATATATAGGGCATCATACTGTGTGTATTAATCTACTTTTTTTTATTCTTTTTAAAATTTAGGTTATATATTAAAAGAAAATCAATAAAATGACCACCCATGTGCCCACAATCCAACTTATTGAATAGGACCATCCTTTAGAAGCCCCCTATGTGTCCCTACTGATCTTTTTCCCTACCCTTCCCCTGAATGTAACACTAATTTTATATGTAAAATTCTCTTCCTCGGGGCCAGCCCTGTGGCATAGTGGTTAGGGTCTTGTGCTCCGCTTCGGCAGCCTGGGGTTCACAGGTTCAGATCCCACCCGGGCGCAGACCAATGCACCACTCATCAAGCCATGCTGTGGCGGCATCCCACATAAAAAGTAAGGGAAGATGGGCACAGATTTTAGCTCAGGGCCAATGTTCCTCATCAAGAAAAAAAAAAAAATTCTCTTCCTCAACAAAATATTAGCAAATCAAATACAGCAATACATTAAAAGGATCATACACCACAATCAAGTGGGATTTATTCCAAGGACACAGGGATGGTTCAACATCCACAAGTTGATCCATGTGATACACTACATTAACAAAATGAAGAATAAAAGTCATGTGATCATCTTAACAGCTGCAGAGAAAACATTTGACAAGATTTAACATCCATTTATCATGAAAACACTCAATACAATGGATATAGAAGGATCAACACTGCTTATATTGCTTGAGGTAATAGAAGGTATCACTCGACATCTGTCAGAATGGCTATTATTAAAAAGACAAGAAATAAGTGTTGAAGAGGATGTGGAGAAAAACGAAAGCTTGTACACTGCTGGTAGGAATGGAAATTGGTGCAGTCACTATGGAAAACAATATAGAGATTTCCCAAGAAATTAAAAATAGAGATACCATACGATCTAGCTATTCTACTTCTGGGTATTTATCCAAAGAACATGAAAGCACTAATTCGAAAAGATACATCCATCCCTATGTCCATTGCAACGTTATTTACAGTAGCCAAGACTTGGAAGCAACCTAAGTGCCCATTAACGGATGAATGGATAAAGAAATGTGATATATATACACAATGGAATACTACTCAACCATAAAAAAAGAAAAACCTTGCCATTTGTGACAACATGGATAAATCTTGACGGTATTAGGATAATAAAAATAAGTCAGATGGAGAAAGACAATTATTATATGACTTCACTCATATGTGGAAGATAAACAAACAAACAAACACATAGAGAAGGAGAATAGATTGGTGGTTACCAGAGGAAAAAGGGGCAGGGTTAGGGCAAAAGTGGTAAAGGCACACATACATATAGTGATTTATGGAAACTAGGCTTTTGGTGGTGAACACAATGCAGTCTAAACAGAAGTTGAAAAATAATGATGTTCACCTGAAATTTACATAATGTTATAAACTAATGTGACCTCAATAAAAAAATAAATAAAAATTCTCTTACTCTTCTTAAAACTTGCATCACATATGACTGAACTTCTATAAATATGTTAATTACTTCTGCTTGCTTTTGCACTGTATATAAATGAAGTTATACCAAATGCATTCTATTTTAGAGAGTGATTCATGTTGATGCATGCAGCTGTGATTCACTTATTTTTAACAATATGATGTAAAGAACTATCCATGTTGATATGCAGATATGGTTGATTCATAGTCAATTGTGTGTGTGCATGTTTAACGGAATATGAGAATCTTTGTCTTTTAATACCAAAGTTTAATTCATTTACATTTGCTGTTATCACTGATTCAAATGTGCAGTACTCTATTAGAATATATCAGAACATTAGGAAAAAAATTCCAATACAAAACACTTATAAATGTGAGATAAAATCTATAACATATATTTACAAAGTAAGAGTTGTACAAATAAGGGAATCACAAATGAGGGCCATGTAACAGGCTTGGGGCACTTTTACTAAGCCCAGTTCATCAGTGCTTTCAAAGTCGTTTCTGGATCATAGTGTATGACCCCTGTCCCTGTGAGGACATGAGAACACCATCCCCTTCAGGTACCTGGGCTGCGAGGTTTCAACTCCCTCTCACACTCTACCTTTGAGTTCTCTCTTCAGTTTTGGCATCTGACGATTTGCCATTCTTTGTTCTGATGATGTAGTTGAAAGATTTCACACATGTTGACTATATATCATTAGGGAAAAAATTACTTATTCAGCCTTTCTCTATGTTCAAAGTAGAATAAGAAGTCTTCCATATTTTCCCAGTCTGCCATAATAATGAGATATCTGATGTGATCCTTACACAGACCAGGCTTTGTTAAGTACAGAATGCTACATCAAAATGTAATTAACAAATTTCTTTGTGGTATTTAAAATGTCTTAAAAACTATTATCACTTTCAATTGACCTCTAAATAAGCAAAAATATTCTTTGAGATTTAAAAAAATATATTTATATCCAAAATATTTATCATATATATTATGTCCAAATATGATATATATGAAAATAGTGTACACAATATAGAGTGTTACATATAATATGCACATATTATATATATTACATATAATATCCACATGTTATATATAATAAAATTATTTAAATAATAAACACAAATATTAGAGCTAATTTTTGTGTATCATGGCAATACTTATATTTTTGTTCCCCTAAAGTACCCAAAAGATTAAAGGGATATATTTCTATCAATGTCTAAATACTACAGAAAAATATGAAGCCAAAACTGTTTTCTCTCCCTCTATAAATTTTTTTCAGAATGAGGATACGATAAACAAAGATTGAGTTCAGAAATAAATTTAAATAAAAATTCTTATTCTTTTATTTCTATTTGGTTTTAATAACTCTACTTCTAGGCTGAATTAGTCACATCAGAACAGTCACCTCATATTCAGTAGAGCATTAACAAGTATTTATGATACAGATGTTATTCACATTGCCCTCAAGTGACCATCAGACTCACTTTAATTCCTTAAAGAAAAAGTATTACAAAATGTGGGAGGAATAATGAGTCCTTGCCATGGCGTGATATGAGGAGGACTACTAAAAGACATCTTTTCTCAAAAATATCTCCCCTTTATAAATCTGGGCCCTAAAATTCCATTATTACAAATTCAAGGTGTTCAGTTAAAGTTTTCTCAAGTGTCAAATAATTCTTAAAGGTTAAAACACATTAACACGTCTTAATTAACCATTAACATCTTAAAGTGAATTAGTACAGAAAGCTTTTCAAAGTGCGTTATTCCTAAGCTTGCTAGTATCAATATGCTTTTTAAAAAGTTTTGCTTCTTCAAAAAATTAAACATAGAATTATTATCTAATTCAGCAATTCCACTCCTAGATACATACCCCCAAAAAAAGAAAATAGGTAGTCAAACAAAAACTTGTACACAAATGTTCATAGCAGCACTATTCACAATAACCAAAAGGTGAAATCTGCCCAAATGCACATCAAATGATGTACAGATTAAAAAAAGTGGTATATCGATACAACGGAATATTATTCAGCCATAAGAAAGGAATGAAGTACTGATACGTGCTACAACATGGTTGAACCTCAAGAACATTATGCTGAATGAAAGAAGTCAGACACAAAAGATCATGTATTATATGATTACATTTATATGAGATATCCAGAATAGGTCAATCCATAGAGACAGAAAGCAGATGAGTGGTTACCAGCGGCCAGAAGGAGGGGCAATGAGAAACGACTGCATAGTGGGTACAGGATTTCCTTTTGGAGTGAAGAAAATGTTGTGGAACTAGATAGAAGCAGCAGTTGCACAACACTGTGAATGTACTAAATGCCACTGAATTGTACACTTTGAAATGATTAAGTGAATGTTATGTGAGCATTTTAAGGACTCGCAGAACTTCTGCAACCACTTAGATTTGTTTAACTCAGAGTTTCTCAAATGCCTGGATCACAGAAACCTCAGCGCTTTGTATGTGTATGTGTGTTTTGGGTCAGGTTCACAGAGAGAGAAAACAAAGTAAAAATCAGATACGTCCTGATAAGATCAATGAGGAAGGCAAAAAGAGATCCACAGTAGGGATCCCTTAAATATCAAAGACAGAGCAGGATAAAAAGAAAAAAGATACAGAAAGAAGTGGTGGATAGTAGCTAAAATTCAACTGCAAAGTAACATGGATAATGTCAGTGAAGTGAGGATCAGGAGATTGGTACCCACAGGTCTTAGATCAGGTTCTCCAGAAAGTAGACTCTGAGATGGAGAATTGTAAGTGAAAATTTTGGGAGAATCCCCTAGGGATCCACATCTGTAAGGGGTGAGGAACAAAGGATTGGAGGGAGGAAGAAGCTGAACTGTGGTGTGGAACCAGCAAGGACCTCAGCCAATCCCAGGGGAAGCTGTGGTGTTGCATAGCCCTTCAGAGTTGTCCAGGCCCTGTACCTCTGCACCAGCTGGCCAGGAGATGCTGGCTGCCCCAAGGGTATCAACTTGATTGAGGAGGACAACTCTCACAGAGTGACTCATCTGTAAGTCAACAGAAGGAAATACTCCAGGCAGCTGAGGGATCAAGCATCTCAGTCCTGAAGTGGGAATCTAGATGCCACACCATAGCATCCACTATACTAGGCCACAATTTTCTGAAAAGTGGCCAACATCCCATAGAGGTGATTCCAATAAGACCTCTTCCCACACCCACACATCTAAGGAAAAATACCTTCAAGAAATCTACACTCAGTGATTCTGAGTGATTTCCTTCCTATCCACATCCATTTATTTTTGTTGATACAGCGTGCATTTTCACTTTGTGAAGAAGAGGAAAAATACAAGTCCATTTTCTAGTAGAACATCGTCTGTAGGAGGTTAGCCCACTAAGTTCACATTAACCTTCCTCCAAAAAGATTTGTTACAAATTAATTATTCTCAAATTGAAATGATAATTTATTGCTGATATCCTCAGATGTTTCATAATTTACATCAAATAATGCTGCTTGTTACTTTTGGTCCCTGTCCCTTCCATTGTGGTTCGCCTACCTTCTACATTGGAATCACTTCAAGAGAGGAGGCGTGATAGTTAAAAATAGAGGTTAGTGGGTCCCACTCCAGATGAACTAAGCCAGAATCTTTGGGAAAGAAGCACAGCAATCCATCTTTTATATTTTATGATGCTTATGGATATAAATGTTGGAAAGCAACTATTATAAATTCTCTAATCTACTCTAGTTTGAGCCAGATCATTACGGACTCGTGGGCTTACGGTCCATCACACTGGCCCCGGTAACTCTTCTTTTACTTAATTGCACTTTGGCCAGATACCAGGAGCTGACACTGTGGTGCATTGTATGAAACTCCTCTGTAGTTTGTGTCTACATTTATTGTTGGGATGATGTTTATAACATTACGTTACATGGTGTCCTCTCTGTAAAGACTCATGGGAGAAAATTCTGATCTCAGAATCGGAGAATTGTTCATCCCTTGAGCAACTAGGTGGTTTTAACATTACAAATAGTGTGATTCACACACCTATAATGTTTCCTTCCTTTCATTGGCTAGCAGAAACTTAGAATCAAGTTTTTGGCACACCCCTAGCAAACATGCATGACTTCATAGTGTGATCTTTGTGTCCTGACTCATCTCTGCTTCTACTGGACTTTCTTGACTCATTTTCCTCATTTATTTGCTATTTCATATGTATCTTAATAAGTTGCTTTAAATCCTTTCTGGAATATGGCTGGGTATAAAAAATCAAATGTATCCCAACTATTAACAAGTAGATAGGCATTCAGCAAATCCAAGACATCAATGAAATAGCTTAACAGCAAAGTATCCCCTGCCAGTATATTCTAAGTGCTTCTGCACAAAACTGCTATGTGAAGTAATTCTAACAATGTTATAACCAATTAATTGGATAGAACTTCAACTTTTGACACCAAGAACTGGTCTAACAACATTCTGTGACTTGGCACATCAGTGGACATAGTAGAAAATAATAGGCCCTGTGCATTTCCAAAGAATTATTGAGGGAGGAATTTAGAAAATGTCCTACAACTTTAATTCTCTTTCCTTTGCCCCTAATCTTGTTTGCTTATGCATGCTCAGGCATAAAAATAATAGAAAGCTTACAGAACCCCAAGATTTGATTTAAATGTTTCTGGCTCTCTGAGCATTTACACACAGCAAATTCCCTCTTTTCACTCAGTTGAAATTCATGTGTTACACTTTGCAATGGGATGAGGAAATTCCCAGCAAATGTTGGTTGCCATGATTCAGTTCACCTTGAGAAAATAAAAGTTCAACTAAAAATACTTAGAAGCTCAGAGTTAATACACTACAGATGAATTTGCATTTCATAGCGGGTATTAATGATAAGAGCATATTATAATTAGTGCTGGATGTTTCCTAGAGCTGTATAAAGTATCTGAGTCCACCAGAAATGAGTTCATACCTCTAATGACTTAGGAGTTAATGAATGAATCATGACACAGCTCCCTTCTCCTACTTTTACTGAAGTAATCTTGGGAAAGATGGAAATAGCACAGGCCTCTGCTTCCGATAACAGATAAGGGAAGGAAAGATGGAGCCCTGGAAAATCATTGGGGCTGCTAGAATCAGCCCCCTATAGCAATGGTGGGTGATATATCACATAGTAGTTAAGCAGGCTCTGACGTTAAATTTCTTGGAGTTAATCTCTGGCTCTAACGCGTTTTAGTAGGCAACATTGGGATACTCAGTCTTTCTGTGCCTCAACTTCTCTTTCTGCACAGTAAGGATAATAATACTATCTCACAGTGTTGTTTTGAGGATTAAATGACTTAACCTATAGAAGGCTCTCAGACCCAGATGGTAATACTAGTTTAATAAACATTATCCTTGATTTTAACTCCTCTCTGGATAATGCCTTGAGACACAGATTTACCTGCATTCTTTATTAGAAGATTTGACAGGAAGTTCAGCCCAGGGGGAGCCATTACCACCATAATTGCCACTAGCTCCATCCATAATGGAGGATGCCAGGGTCAACGTGGTAGACAAGGTCAGAAAGAATCAGCCTTGTATGCTTCACTTGTGTGTTTGGGACTTTATCCCAGAGACAAACAAGGAAGGTTGCAATGGGAAAAATAAAATTATCACATTTGGTTTTCAGAAGGATTTTTTGTACGTAGAGAATTGTTGATATGAGTTAGAGAAAAAACACAAAGTAAGAGTGGCTTAAACAAGATAGAAATTTGTGTATGTGTATTTTAGTGTGTGTGTATGCGTGTACATTTCCTTTTCTTTCTTTCTTTCTTTCTTTTTTTGCTGTGTAAATGAAATCCATTTGTGCCCAGTCCCAGGCTGGTAAGGCAAATTCTCAAATTCATCCATGCCCAAGACTCCTCTATCCTGCTGTTTCTTCATCCTCAAAATTGTGGATTCCACTTCAAGAGATGGCTATGCAAGATGCAGGCATCGTATTTCCATTCCAGGTATCAGGAAAAAAAAAAGACTATGCATCCTTCCTTTAAGAATACTCCCTGGAGGTCTTGCATGAGACTTCTGCTTACTTCTCCTTATCTGAGCTTAGTAACGTGGTTATCACCAGCTGCAAATGAGTGTGGAAAATATGTTTTTATTCCAAGTGAACATGTAATTTAAAATATTCAATTATTTAGTAAAAAAGAGAAAGATGACTCTAGGCAACAACTATTTAGAATCATTTGGAAATGGCTGTTGGAGATGTCAGAAAGCTAGACCTTATAGGACCAGCTTCATACAAAGGGAAGAGTCAAGGAATGCCCCAGGTTTCTGGTTTGGGGGAAAGGATAGATAGTGGCTTCATTCACCAATCTAGGAAAACTAGTTTGTAAGACCATGAATTCATGTCTGAGCATATTAAGCTTGAGATATTTGTGGGACAACCAAATGGAAAATATATCTAAACAGTTGTATTTAAATTTGAGGAGCTCAGAAGGTTAATTCTAGCTGGGGATACAGACTTGAGAGTCATCTGTGTAGCAGATTGTTAAAGACAAGGGAGTGAATGAGATAGCATCGGCTCCACTTTGCTTTTCTTATTATAGACTAAGTGAGTAAGAGGATGTGGCTGGTAAAGGCAATATCCCAAAGGCTCTGGCTGTGACAGACCCCATGTGGCCACTCTGAGGGCTGAGGGCAGGGGTAACTCTCCATATCTTCACACAAGCTGGAAGGACTAGAATGAAAATAGGAAGCATAGTAAAGACAGAACAAGTAGAAAAGGGATTCTCTGGAGAGTCTGTGGATGAAGAAGAGTTTATTTACAATGGAATGAGGTTCCAACGGGTCACAACAGAAAACTTAAGGTGGAGGTCAGGAGGGTAGGAAGGAAGAACACTGCAAAATTATATGAGAGATAAGAGCTGGCCAGAGAGGCCCACATTACTATGGGTGGCTGAAGATGGAAACGTGAGTGTCATGGTGGGATTCCCTGTTCCTGAGTCTTAGCAACTGCTAATTCTATAGGAAAAGGATTTTCTCAAATGATTTGCTGGAGATATGGCTTTTTACGTAGGTAAACCAGTGTCTTAAATCCAAGTATAGTAGTTGAGAACTGATAATTTCATAATCTGTGGTCCTGGACCACAGGCTTTAGCCTATGCTTAGTGCTGCAAGGGGAGCCAGGATGAGGAGTAATACTGACTCCTAAGGATGTGGAACCGGAGGCTGTTTGCAGGGGTGGAGCCTACTTGACCAAGTGGTAGAAGGAGAGATTTTCTAATTTTCCCCATTCCATTAGCAGCAATCTTCCATGGCTTGGAGGTATGTCCTCAGTAGATAGCCATCAGCTATTTATGAGGATTCCTTTAGATCAAAGGCTGGGAAACCGGA